TTTGAGGCAGAGTCTTGCTCTGTTGCCCAGGCTGAAGTGCAGCCTCCTGGGTTCAAGCAGTTCTCCTGCCTCAGTTTCCTGAGTAGCTGGTATTACAGGCGCCCACCACCACACCCTGCTAATTTTTGTATTTTTAGTAGAAACGGGGTTTCACCATGTTGGTCAGGCTGTTCTCAAACTCCTGATCTTGTGATCCACCGCCACTCAGCCACCCAGAGCGCCGGGATTACAGTGTGAGCCACCGTGCCTGGCAGATATTTTTGTATATTTAGTAGAGACTGTTTCATCATGTTGGCCAAGCTGGTCTTGAACTCTCGATCTCAGGTGATCTGCCCACCTTGGTGTCCCAACGTGCTGAGATTACAGGTGTGAGCCACCATGCCCGGCTATAAGTTAATGTTTGTAAAGTGCCCAGAATAGTAACTGGCATATACTAAGCTCTACATAATTTTTTTTTCATAAACTAAAAGAATTGTTCTAGCTGCTAGGTTGAAAATAGCAGTAGATATGCAAATGTGGAAGAAAGGTACCCAGGTATAAGACAACTATAAAAATCCCAAGGAGAAATGGTAACAAGAACCATTTCTTAGGATAATAGCTAATAGAGGTCATGGCAGTAGAGGTGGTGAAAAGTAACAGAAGAAAAAAAGAAGAGACAAGAAATCAGGGATGACTCTGAAAGTTTTGGGCCTGAGTAACTAGAACCACTATCCAAGATAGTGAGGACTGTGTGTGGATCAGATTTAGGGGCTAAAAGAAAGACATCCATGCTATCGTACAAATTAATTAAACAATGACTGAGCTCCTATACTGAATAAGACGTTGAACTAGGGAATGAGAGAATATGTAAAAAGGCCAGGCACAGTGGCTCACACCTGTGATCCCAGCACTTTGGGAGGCCGAGGCAGGCAGATCACGAGGTCAGGAATTCGAGATCCGCCTGATCAACATGGTGAAACCCCGGATCTACTGAAAATACAAAAATTAGCCAGGTGTGGTGGCGCACACCTGTAATCCCAGCTACTCAGGACACTGAGGAAAGAGAATCGCTTGAACCTAGTAGGTGGAGGTTGCAGTGAGCCAAGATCGCACCATTGTCCTCCAGCCTGGGCGACAAAGACTCCATGTCAAAAAAAAGAGAGAGAAAAGAATGGAAGTCAATAATGCAAAATTTAAAGGACTAAAGTCAAGGAAGTTACTTCGTTTTGTTTTATGTTGTTTATTTGAGACTATTTCCCTCCCACCCAGGCTGGAGTGCAGTGGCGTGATCTGGGCTCACCACAGCTTGGACCTCCAGGACTCAAGCAGTCCTCCCACATCAACCCTTGGAGTAGCTGGCACTACAGGCACTCACTAGGATACCTGGCTTGTTTTTGTATTTTTTGTAGAGACGGGGTCTCACTACGTAGCGCAGGCTAGTCTCAAACTCCTGAGCTCAGGTGATATGCTTGCCTAGCCTCCCAAGGTGCTGGAATTACAGTCATGAGCCACTGCTCCCTCCTGGCCCCTGTTTTTGCTCTATTTGAGGAAGGGTCTCACTCTGTCCAGAATGGAGTGCAGTTGCACAATCAGGGCTCACTGCAGCCTTGATCTCCTTTCTGGGCTCAAGCGTTCCTCCTGTCTCAGCTTCCCAAAGTGCTGGCATTACAGGTGTGAGCCACCAAGCCCATCCAAGAGGAACATTTTCTATTATTTATAGCCAGTCAAATGTCATTATGGCATGGTGGCTCACGCCTGTAATCCCAGAACTTTGGGAGGCCGAGGCAGGCAGATCATGAGGTCAGGAGTTTGACACCAGCCTGGCCAATATAGTGAAGCCCCGTCTCTTCTAAAATACAAAAATTAGCCAGGCATGGTGGTGGGTTCCTGTAGTCCCAGCTACTCGGGAGGCTGAGGCAGAAGAATCACTTGAACCCAGGAGGCAGAAGTTGCAGTGAGCTGAGATCGTGCCCCTGCACACTCCAGCCTGGGCAACAGAGTGAGACTTTGTCTAAAAAA